GGAGCCGGTCCACACTCTTTCACAGGCAAACACAAGCACACTGTATTTGGGGAATCAAGTGCACACAAGACGGTGGCTGGACCGTAGTCCGCTCCACACTGACTGCATGGAACCACTCTTCGAGCCTAGCACGACCACAAGGACTGTGCACCCCGTCCCCTCCAGCAACGACCAACTGTCTCCTGGAGCCAGATGGACGAGGTACTGCGTAATAGACAGGTAGTCACCTGATCAACATGCATATCAAGCGCAGCCACACCTAGGATGTTAAACAACAGGCAATCATTTAAAAAGCCGGTATCGAATAAAGTAAACGCATATGACGACATAAATACTCGCTAAATGAGCATATAGAAGAAATTGGTTGCAAATGAATTCGTGATTGTGTGCATACATGTTTGGACTCAGATGCTTAACGCCTACCAATTGAAAAAGACAGAGAAAAATTACCAGTAGCAAGTGCGAAATCACAAAAAATGTTTCGTTGTTTTATCGCGGCACAATACTTGCACTGTTTTGCTCACCTTCAGTGAATGTGTCATTATGATAATCCTTCCATTGGTTTTCGTGATTTTGTCTCGAGGTCTCTCTGTAATTGAGATAGATAAATATACTGGGTTATTCGAATACGTAATGGTTAAGATGTAAAATTCTAAGTAACGGCTAGGCTTATAAGTAATCGTTCTCCTAAAAGACTGACAGTCCATGGCAATTCTCCTCATTCTCCTCTTCTTCCATCCACACCCCTGGCGGGTAAACAAAGCACGTCGCGGGAGTCGGTGGGCTAACATGTGTAACATGTGGCCGAGCCATCGGAGTCTGGTGCCTGAAATAACGGTGCTGAGTGGTTCATTTCCATTTCCGGTACCAAAATCGACTCGTCGAACTGGCTGGTTGCTCACGCGGTTCCCAATACATGTGAGCCAAACTGCGAAGGCACCACGGGTGGAACTTCACTAGCCTCTTTATGTTGGTTGATCTAAGGGGCCAGCTTTCACAACCGTACAGTGAAGTCGAACGTACACCTGCATTGTACACCCTATCCTTCAGGGAGAGAATGATGTCTCCCCTGTGCCATAGGTGGCGAAGGTTAGCAAAAGCGCCTCGAGCTTTTCCATGTGGTTCCTAATCTGGTCTTCGATCCCAAGGGCGGTGATACAACTACCCAAGTAGTTAACGTTGTAAACCAATTCCAACTGATCCTCACAAAGGGTTAATGCAGGAGGCGATGCGTGCCAACCTTGGAGAAAAGCTTTATACTTCTAGGGAGCAAAGCATAGCCGGAAACTGTTGACAATCAGTGCTAACCTGTCCAGTGCCGCTCGGCCCGTTTTGGAGCTGTCACAGATGAGGACAATATTGTCAGCATATTCCAAGTCAACGGTCTCTTTGATGTCGTGGAACACGACAACGATAGGCAGTCGAGATGCGTAAAGGTGTTCCAATAGCCGACGCAGTGAAGATGTGGTCGATGCAACCATGACCTCGAAGAAACGCGGTTTGCACTTCACGAATCTGGCTTTCACGGGTATCAGTCAATCTGTGAAGGATGACAGAGGCAAGCAATTTGGAGGCGATGGAGATCAGGCTGATTCCTCTATGGTTGTTACATTCCGAGCACAAGTCTCCCTTGAAAATTGGGACTATGACGGAGCGGCTCCAGTCTGTTGGGACAGTTTCCTGCTCCCACAGTTTCACTAGTAACTCGTGTAAATAATCTACAAGAGCAAGTCCGCCGAAGTTGAAGAGGGCTAGAGAAAGATCATCTAGCCCCGCGGCTTTATTTAACTTCAGCAGTCCGATCACACGTTCGACTTCTGAGCGAGAGGGTGGATCCAAAGCGACAGCTCAGCGGATACTGACTATTGTATTATAGAGCAAGTAAAAATGAGTTCTGTAAAACTTTCGAAAAATGATGAAAAATGCTATCCAAATGGTCAGCCGTGAATATAGTTATCCTTCTTATGTAATATTTAAACTAGCTGACGTACGGTATTGCAGGACTCACAAATGTGAAATGTCATCGTAGGTGTGCAACCAGTATCTGAATCGAATAGGGGTAAAATATAAAGCTAACAACTTCTTGAACTGCTGCACAGATGTTGCCTCCGTGACATGTTCAGGTAAACTGTTCTTAATAGTTACCACTCTCCGTTCGAAGCACAGTGGGTGGAGAACTCGCTTCACATCCGGCACGACAAGTTGGTATCTGCGTCCGCGTGTGCTGCATGGCCCACGTAAGTGCAGCATTGGCCTCAGCATTGGGAAGTCACCGAGATACAGTATCCGGTAGGTCCTAATGAGTTCGACTGTCACCCGACGGTAGGACAAGGTGTAAAGTCCTAGTTTCTCACATCGGTCTTCATGTAAACTCTGGATGAGCCTGGTATCAACGTGTTGGACCAGTTCCATCTTTGGTGGGAACAGGGCGAACAGCGACCGGCGAGAAATGGGACAATTCCGGCAGATTAAATTGCCTTTCATTGCTCAGCCCAGCGCTCCATGCGTTTTGACAAATTGTGGATAGGTTACCCACTCTCGTCACGTATAGTTTCACTAACACCAGGTCTGCTTCTGCCCGTTTCCCGGATCAGATGGAATAACTTTCGATGGTTACCGTAAGCAGCGGCCACTTCCATCTCTGACGCAAGAAGAGACCACCAAGTTTCGCGGTCTCTCTACAGACTAGCACGAAGTTTTGCCCGGTTTTGTCTAGTTTCACTGTGTTCGCTTGCAGATGGAATGTGCCGATGAGCATCCAGTTCCAAAGATCGCGAAGAGACCCAATGTCCATTTTCGCTATCAGACTTACTACATGATGATTTACCTGCTGCTAGTAAGGTCTGTTGAACATGAGACCAGTGAGCTTTTATTGTATCCAGTGCACGCTTACTCAACCCGAATGTCCGCGTACTTCGATACGCATTCAGAACAGCTGGCTTCGTCAGTTGGCTGATGTCAATGCGCTCATAGCGTCGTCATGCGCATCCACCAAAACGCATCCGCAGGTCAGCACATACTAGTGCATGGTCAATGTCCAGAAATGTGTTCGAAAGCGAGCGACAGTTCTGGACGCAGCCTCACCGGCGGTAACTGATCACAAGATGATCAGTTTGCGTCCATAGCTGATTCGACGCTGGAGGGCGCCAAGTCACTCGCCGGCGGATGCTGTGTCGGACGTTAGTGCTTGCGAGAAATAAGCGGGCATCTTCACACAAACGAAGTAACCGCTCACGGTAATCATTACGGAAACCTCTACCAGGTTGGCCGCCCAGACGCAGTTCATCAGTGGACAATTTTCCCATTTGAGTGTTCAGATCCCCAGCCAGCACAACAGTGTGCGTGCTTTTTCTGTGGCGAAGGAGCTCGTTCCGTTGGCGATGGAAGTCATCTTTTCCCTAATCATCGCTACAGTTTGTGGGCGCGTAGACAGCGCTGACTAATAGACACCTATTAGTCCCACACGAATTCGAAGCTTTGAACGAGCCAGCCAATTGGACCACACACAACTGATTGGAATCTAGTCAACTAGAGCAGCTTCAGCCCGGGGATTCAGGCGGATACCAACACAAGTTTGGTCGGTGCTCAAAGCTGCATCGTCACCGGATAGGCGCAATGAGCAAGTACTGCTGGTGCCACCTGAGGAGGATCTCCAAGTGCACACAGAGCTCGAGTCTTGCAGGTGGGTCTCCGATAAGCGGCAGATATCGACCTAGAGGGTCTCTAAGGTTCGGAAACGTGCTGCTTGTTGACCGATCTGTAGCAATGTGCGTACATTGAGACATGCTAATCTCAAGGAGGATCGAGGGCTCCAAATGGAAGCCGATGAAGTGGAGTGGACCGTTTGGTTGGACGTGGGCTTGTTGACAGGCAGGAGGGACGCTCCGCGTTTGCATGTTAGTTGAAATTAGAAGCTAAGCGCCTATCAAAGCAATGTGGGGGAGGACCAAGAATTGGGGGTTGAAAACGGTGTGGGGGATAAAAGTGAACTTACAACGGGACGCTAAGCTTGGAAAAGCTTAATAGCTGGACAATGAAGACGGGAAGCCTTGAGCAATAGCATCCAAACCCTTATCCACCCTTCTCCATGCAACAGATAGGGCACGGTTGATTTTCCTCTGCGGTGGCCAGAACATCAAGAAATTGTTTACTGAAGGGGTCATGATATTGGGTGGGCAGGATAATGGCCCGTTGCCCAGTCTTAGGCAGGAGAACGATTATTGTTCTCAACCAAAAACTTTGGTTCCAAAACCTGACCGCAAGGCAGCTGGTTTGGTTGTGGACTGCGAGGATTCCGTTTTAAGGAATAAGGAGGCACACTCATTTCAATCCCCAACCTGGAGGACTAGGAGACTGGGTTTGTCTGGCCTCTAACCGTTGACCAATGTGGTATGAGTGACTCTGAAGGTGCAATAAAGCACCACTCAGCATAACTCAATGGATCGCTGAGGCACACAAACCATCGCACCATGGTAAGGTCCAGCCACACTGCGATGGCGATTCTGAGTAAATGTGGCGCACATAGGCACGCAACCAGTTACTGGTGTCAAGTTTATCGGCCTCTTTCTTTCAAACTAGCTAATTAAATTCTTTTATGTAACCCGATCGACCCTCTTTATTGTATGGTGAAGCTAAATTTAGGTGCAAAAATGACCTGCTAACATGAGTGAAACTCATATAGCAGATAAGTTAACTTCTATTGTTACGTCGAATACTGCCACCCGGGGAGAGCACATACAGTGATTCCGCTATTTACTTTGGGCTAAAACAATTGCGGCTGTTCCACACACACACACACACACACACACACACACACACACACACACACACACACACACACACACAGCGTGGCCTTGCTAACACCTAGATAACGTACGGAAAACAGGACATATGTGGAGAAGAGCATAAAGCCCGTTAGAAGCCTACATAATTTCCACCTTTCAAACCACTTTATTATGTGCTATTCGCCTAATCTCCTGCTTTTCTGATTCAACCCACAGATAGACAACTAGGCTGAAAAACACCTCGGTCACAGCTTACTATTTGTTGTCTCAGGCCATGGAGTTAATGGAAGATATCTGCCCGATCCCGGAAGGGAGCAAACGTGATGAAGACGAGGATTTGCGCATCATTGCCGAATTGAACAATCCTCGGATCTACAAAGATGTACAACACGTTTTGCGACAAGAGCAACGAGTGAAACTCGCGATCACTCGCAACAAGGCACTTCCATTCCCGTGCAAATGTGGTCAGTTGTGTGAATTTGGTAACCTACTCAGTATACTATACAACGCGTTCGAGAAGCTATACGAGATGTACGAGGCATTGCACATGGACTACACACTCATTTTCCGCGCTTCTTCTTTCGTCGTGAACGGGAAAGTGGTGCAGGTGGACAGCGGGTTCCAGTCAATGGGTGAAAACCTCGGTTCCCCAGTTCCAGTGGAAATGAATTTAGATGACTTTGCATCGGACGTGCGTTTGCGGCAGGAACGTAGAAAAGCTTTGGTTGATGAAGATATTTGGCGAAAAACATACGAACTTCACATGGAATGTGTCCGATTGAATATGCTGAAAGTGGCAAAACCTGAACACGAACGTTTCATGGAGTGGATCGGTTCGCATGTGTGGGCAAATGCCAAATGTATTTGCTATCACTGCGATTACCGAGATGCGTTGTTATCTTACAGACATGCGTTGCTCACCTTACATATGGAATACATGTCAATGTATGCGAATTACGCTGCCCTGTTGCACAAACGAAGAGTGCAGGAGAGTAGACAAATGACAAAAACTGTGGTCACAAGCGGTATCCCCTCGGACATCATACAAACAGTGTTCTTTGATGGATGACTATTTATATTTTTGTCTGTCCAGATTACTGATCCTAATACAGGGAACTTCGTTTACATCATGTGGACTGCAGTACCGAGTCCTAAACATAGCCACTACAGGTTAGTTTTTCCGACTATTGCAATCCCATGCAGGATAGCAGCGAATTTTGACCACAGAGCTGGCTGAGATTAAGCATATTTGTACTGGCCAGAGCGATAAGTATGATGGCAAGAGAGATTAACAAGAAGATGAAGAAGAAGGCGATGATGAGCAGTGTTTTTGACCGCGCAATTTTCCACTGATATGCATCCATTAACCCACAGTTGTAATCCGTGTACGCTGTAGTCAGAAGCACCAGGGTGACGATTCCGAACCCAGTGAATGGGAAGAGCACAGTAAGCACTCCAGAAAACCAAACATAGCGCCAGGGAAACTTTACCTCAGCTTCCACGTCGGACACTGCACTTGAGGTTTCGGTGTCACTTTTGTAAAATCGAACTGGCGGTTGCACTGTCCTGTGGTGCTTTGAGTGTTTATACATGTCTTTTGTAATGGTTCCATAGGTGTCCTCCTCCCCAGCCTCCCTACGTTTTGGCATGATTTCTTAAGTCATTGCTCGCTAATTAGGTGGGTGTATTGATTTAACTCGTGGCCGACTACAGTTGAAATGAACGGGTTGGTATCGATCGGTCACCTGATGCGAATAGAATAGTCGGTAAAAGCTACCTCACACGAATATTACGATTAAACGGCTAAGTAAAAACAATGCAGTTGGCAGTTCAGTCGCTGGAATGCAACAATCGAACGCCCATCACCTTTTGTCGCACAGCATGGTCACACCTCTTTGGCGAGCTCAGACAGACCACTAGTCATATCTGTGGTTGTTTCAAAGGCACTCTGTCACCAATACAGCGATGCACTCCTCTGACATCGAATGGAATGAATCTTGAATGCGCCAAGAGACTCATAGGATGATATAACAAATAAGGAAGAAACCTCCTGCAAACATCGGATTACAATTTGGGCTGGTCAGTGGTGGCTCAGTTGTACCACTCTTTAGACTGCTTCAACGCTGACTCGTCCACCTCACAGCAACACCGGATATTTATTCTAGTGTAACATTGCTCGTCACCGTGTAAAAGTTTACTAAACATTTGTGTGTTGTAGACATGTTAAACATACCCCTTCATCATCAACATCTATTGCACGTAAGCTGTCGATGCAAAATACCCCAGCTACTGTGCCGCAGAACAATGCAGTTTGATATTGGAAAAAGAAGCAATAAAAATACGAGAGAAACACCAGAAATATTACGCTTTTTTATCAGTGTGCACCGACACTGAGATCGTGGCTGAACGAGGAGCTTGAGCGGAATGGGGAGGGACAGAGAAACTCATAGCACAAGCGTCACTAAGGTCGAATCTTCGCCATGCCGACAAGTGTCTCCAACCAAGTGTCTCCAAACTTCGAACTCCAGGAGTCGAAGCTCCAACCAAGGCAAACTTCGAAGTCAGGATCTGCATTCGTCTTGGCCTACCACTTTTCTTGCATCCACACACAGTCGCGCAAGCAAAGCACGTCGAGGAAGTTAGTGTGACGACTTGCATTACACATGACCCAGCCACCGGAACCTAGTGCATGATATACTGGTGCTGAGCGTTTTACTCGCCCTTCCTGCAACAAATCCACGACGCCTAACACGCGGTTTGCTCACGTGATGTTCCCACTAGATATAAACTGAACTGGGATGCTATAATAAATAAACAAAGGTACATTTCTCAACGGTGCAAGATACCGACAAACTACGTGGTCTGACCACTTTGTAAAGCATAGTCGGATGGTAGAGAAAGATTTTCGAGTTTTATAAAGTATTTCTCAGTGGAGTTGTTGAGGTGTATTATTAAGTAAGTGTAATAAAGATACGGAAAGCAAAGCATTGGAATAAGTGTAGTTATACTCAGCTGGTCGAGTAAAACAACACACCATCCTTGGAACCGTCCTCAAGGGGCCTGCTGCCATGCGAGATAGTTTCTCGAGAGTTTTCATCCGCATTCCACGCCTTATCTGGTCACACGCCGATGTGGCTTAAAAGCACGTAAGCCATCCTCATGATAATCAAACGTAACAAACCTCTTTAGACCTGTCGATCTGATAGGTCACGTTTTGCAACCGTACAAGGGGTTGAACGGACACCTGCATTGCAGACTCAACCCTTCAGTGAGACTGATGTCGCGCAAGTGCCATAGGTGGTGAAGATGATCAAAATCGATTCGAGCTTTGGCTATACAGCTTGTCACTTTGTCTTCTGTTCCACCGTTGTTTATACAGCCGCTTAGATAGTTGAATTTTTGAAACGATTTCTAGGTGATACTCACCAAGGGGGTTAGTCCGTGTCAGTTTGGAGAATGTTACATTTCGAGGGTGCAAAGCAAAGCCTGAAGCATGTGACAACCAGTGCTAATCTGTCTCTTGCTGCTTGGCACGTTCGTACGCTGTCACAGATTGGGGTGATACCACCTGCATGCTCTAAGTCAAGAAGTTGTTCATCAGAGAACAGCTCCACACATTCTAAGTTGTGCTCAGTAAGCGTAGTTTTCGTGACTCTTAATGGGTACTCCTGTTGCATACCGCTGATGATACTGTAGGACGGTGACAGCTTGTCATAAGCCCGCATTCCACCCGTATTGCATGTGTAATGCGATCTGATAATGTTTACGTATCTCCCTGGAGCATCTTTCTGGTTCAAACACACCACACGGGACATCGCATCCGCCTTCAGTGGATGTTATCAGGCATTGGTTGCTATAAAATACGATCCTTCGACTGCGAGCTTGCATCCATCGCAATGAGGCTGGACCTTACCGTCGTGCGATGGTTTGTGTGCCACAGTGATCCATTGAGCTATACTAAGTGGTGCATTTTTGCACCTTCAGAGCCACTCATACTGTAGCGAGAACGACAAGACAGGGGGTAGACGTTTATTGCACACCGAAAATGGGCACATGAGGGTCTCGCGCGCGCCATCAAATATCGACTCGATTTCCGTCCCACAACGCAACACAGGTACGGATGTTAGAGACGAGCCAGTCCTTTCGCCTCGGGAGCTCTGACTTGGAAGATCCGCCTTCCTATTTTCGCCTCGATCTCCGCTTCTCTGCACCCGATTTGGGTCGGCCAGGAGTCGTTCGAGAGCTCTCGACTTGCTTGTTCTGGGCTGTGTCAATCGGCTCGGCCTCGGTCCTTTGGGCTGCGCTAGCGGCGTATTTGTCTGATTTATTGCGCCGTCCACATATTCCCGCTCCGTAGTTCCGGGCCCAGGCTCGTCGCTAGCCGTCTTTCGCGATCCGCTCTCAGATAGCTCCGAAGAGCTCCCCAGAGCCATTCTTGGAAGCGGCCCCTCTACAATACCAGATTGGTCAATGGTTAGAGGTCAGACAAACTCAGCCTCCTGGCCCTCCAGGTTAGGGGTTGGAATGAGGGTGGCACCTTATTCCTTAAAACGTACTCCTTGTAGCTCAACGCCAAACCCGCTGCCTTACGAACAGGTTTTTTGAACCAAAGGCTTTGGTTGAGAACCCTAATCGTTCTCCTGTCTAGGCCTGGGCAACCTGACAGTATCCTGCCCACGCAATACAATGAATTTCTCTTCAAACAAATTGCTGATGCTCTGGCCACCGCAGAGGGTAATCAACGGTGCCCTATCTGCTGCATCGGGCAGGGTGGATAGGGGTTTGGATGCTACTGCTCAAGCCTTCCCGTCTTCTTATTCCCCCTCTTGCGCTTTTTCACTCTTATCGTCCCGTTCCATCTTCACTTTTATCCCCTTGTTTTCAACCCCACAATTCTCGGCCCTCTCCCACCTTGCTTCAATAGTCGCGTGTCTTTTAGTTTCAACTCACAGGTGAACGCGGAGCGTCATTCCTGCCCTGTCAACTGGCCCATGTCCAACCAAACGGCCCATTCCAGTTCATCGGCTTCCATTTGGAGCCCTCAATCCTTCTTCAGATTGGCATGCCTCAACGTTCGCACATTGCTTCAGCTCGGTTAACAGGTAGCACTTGCCAGAACATTAGAGACCTTCTCAATCGATATCTGCCGCTTATCGGAGACCCGCCTGCAAGACTCGAGCTCTGTGCTCACTCTGCCATCCTCTTCAGGTGACACTAGCAGCACTTTCTCATTGCGCCTATCCGGTGACGATGCAGCTTCGAGCACCGGCCAAGCCGGTGTTGGTATTGCCCTGAGTCCCCGGGCTGAAGCTGCTCTGGTTGATTGGATTTCAATCAGTAGCCGGATGTGTGCGGTCCGATTGGCTGGCTCGGTCAAAGCTTCGAAGTCGCGTGGGACTAACAGATGTCTATTCGTTATCGCTGCCTATGCACCGACAAACTGTAACGAGGACTCGGTAAAAGACGACTTCTATCGCCAACTGAACGAACTCCTTCGCCACAGAAGAAGCTCGGACACTGTTGTGCTGGCCGGGGATCTGAACGCTCAAGTTGGAAAATTATCCACAGATGAGCTGCATTTGGGCGGCCAAAATGGTGTAGGCTCCCGTAATGATAACGGTGAGCGGTTGCTTCATTTGTGTGAGGATGCTCGCTTATTTCTTGCGGGCACTAATTTCCGACACAGCACCCGCCGGAGGGTGACTTGGCGCCCACCAACCTCGAACCAGCCTTGCACGCAGATCGATCACATTGCGATAAGTTACCGCTGGAGAGGCTGCATCCAGAACTGTCGCTCGATTTGGAGTACAGGTGTGGACACCGACCATGCACTTGTATGTGCAGACCTGCGGATGCGCTTTGACGGACGCCCATGACGACGTTGTGAGCGCATTGACACCAGCCAACTGGCGAAAGCCAGCTGTTCTGAATGCCTATCAAAGTAAGCTGTCATGCGAGTTGAATAAACGCTCACTGAATGCAATAGAAGTTCACTGGTCTCATATAAACCAGACCTTACTAGGAGCGGGAAAATCCTCATGTGGTATGTCTAATCGCCAACATGGAAATAGGGTCTCTTCGCAGTCTCTGGAACTTATAGATGCTCGCCGGCATATTCAGGCTG